GAGTGCAGACTAGTGCAACCACTATGGAAATCAATATGGAGATACCTCAAAGAACTTGGACTGGAGGTTCCATTTGACCCAGCCATCCCTCTGCTGGGTATCTTTCCAAAAGAACTAAAAGAATCATATCACGGAGAAGTATGCACACCCATGTTTATAGCGGCACAGTTTGTAATAGCTAAAACCTGGAAACAGCCCATTTGCCCATCCGCTGGAAACTGGATAAAGAAGATATGGTTTTTCTATAAAATGGAATATTACTCAGCCATAAAGATCGAGAAAATAGATTCATTCATAGGAAAATGGATACATATTGAAGATATACTCCTAAGTGAAATAAATAAGGCACACATGTGTAAATACCGAATAGCTTCTCTGGTGTGAATAATCTGCAATAATACAGAAGATCCTAATAAGATTACTGACATTGAGAAATGGGAGGAAAGGAGCTGAAGGTGTGGGGAAGGTGGGATGGGTAGGGGAAGGGTAATAAGGGAAAAGAAAAAAATGTGAGATATGAAAAGATGGAAATAAAGTGTTTGTAGATGGGGAGGGGGGAGGGGGTAAAGGGAGGGCAGAGAGAAGGGGAAAAAATGAGAACCAAGACTTGTCATGTAGAGGTACAAGATCCCAACAATGAAAGTAACTGTACTGTATCCCTAAAATGTACCAATAAACTCAAAGCTGAAAAAAAATGTAAAAAGAAGTACGCACAAATGTACATGGGGGAAAAATGTTCACCATTTTCAGCCATTAGGAAAATGAGAATCAAAACTATAGTGAGATCCCACCTCATTCCAGGCAGAAAGGCTAGCATCAAGAACACACACACACACAGAGTGATTTCTCTGAGAACCGGGGGTGCGGGGGGAGCGGCACCGTTCTACCCATTAGTGGAGTAAATGCTAGTACAGCCACCATGGAAATAAATACAGAGATTCCTCACAAAAGGCAGATACACTGTTCGATCCAGCTGCACGACTCCTTGGTATATTCCCAAAGTCATTAAAGACAGCAGCAGTGATGTATAACTCTTGTTTAGAGTGGCACCATTTACAGCAGCTAGATTCTGGAAATAGCCTAGATGCCCATCAGTAGAGGCTTGGATAAAGACAAGGTGGAGTCCGTAAGTAACAGTGCGTTAATCAGCTTTAAAAAACAAAATCATGCCATCTGCCTGAAAGTGACTGTAACTACAGACCGCCATGGGAGGCAGAATAAGCCAATCTCAGAAAGTTAAGCATTCCTTTGTTTCTTAAATAAACAACTTAAAAATCAATTTTAAAAATAATAATCACTAAAGGAAAAAGAAGAAGAAACTAGAAGGTAGATTTTTAGAGAAAGCGAAGGATGCTAGAGGGAGAATGGAGAAACGTGAAAGGTGGTAATGGAGATGAAAATATTTAGAATATGAAATGCAATGTGCCAATATGCCAAACCAAAACTCATTATTCTGCATCACTAATATATACCAGTTCTAAAAAATCTATTCTTTTTAAGCTAAAAATTATTACTAAATTTTTACTTGTTGGCTGCATATTACCAGTGACAAGGTAAAACGTGGCCAGTTTAAATAAACATACAAAGAACAGAAAACGAAGACGCACACACACAGATTTCATCACCTCTGCACTTTGGTCTCGGTCGGTATACACTAAGCAGCTAGCGACTGTTAAAACAGTTTTCACACCATCATTGAAGCGCTGGGGCTGGGAGCAACTGCAAAGCTGGTAATCTTTACCTCATCCTTTACACAGGTCTACAAAGAAAATCAGGGAAGGCAGGTAGCAGCATAACCAGGAAAAAATTAAGAAAAGCCTGTGTGGGGTGCTGACTGTCCCCCCGTCACGCCCTCGGACTCCCAGCATGCATGCTGGGCCCTTGGCTCAGGGAATTACTCACCACGCCACAGGCACATGGGTGGCATCCAAAGTAAGGCCGTGCCCTCTCTGCTCCGCACCGGTGAGGCAGGTCGGCCTCCTCCTGGACACCGCAGTGAGGCTCTGGAATTTAAATCGGTGCTGAACGGGAGCTCTGGAAGTTGCAGGCGTTGCATTAATTATGAAGCGGGTGACTGGGAGCTTCTCATCACGTGAAAGGTCCATTCTGCATGAGACTCGAACTTTAGAAAAGGACACCACCTTCAGTCACCGTCCCTCTGCTCCGATGCGGGCACAGGCCGGCGTGCGCGCGGACGCCTGGACGCGTAGACGTGAGGACGTATAGACGTGCGGACGCGTAGACGCGCGGATGCGTAGACGCGTGGACGCCTTGCGGGGCGTGCGGGGCGTGAGGGGCGTTTCGGTGTGGGCTTCCTCGGCTTTGCCGGTGACCGGGAATAGGGACCCTGGAGAGCCCGGCGTCCCTTGCTGTGGGTTCCCCGGGTCCCGCTTGATTCATCACAGTATCTGCAGGATCTGCACCCTGTCGGGCGCACACCCACCCCGTGTGCCGGAGCCCTCGTCCGTGCTGTGGACTGGATTCCTGTCTTTGGCCCCAGGCTCTTTAGTTTGTAAGTTAGCACACCCCTCCATCTCCAGACTCCATGAGGACAGAAAACAATACTAAGGACGGACTGTGGTCGGTGGGAGGCCTTATGGGGAGCGCGCACCACACGCGAGCCAGGAAGAAGGAGGTGCGCCAAGGAGGAGGAGGCCGGCCCTGGCCGGGGCCTCGGAGCCAGCGTTCAAGGCCCACGTCCTGACCCTTGCAGTATCGCCTCACAGGGCTCATCATGGTACATCTGCGTGCACCGGGCCTGGAGAAATCTGACTGTTGTCCTTTGGACTCTGACAACCTGTGTGGGCCTTTAGCACTCGCCTCCTCGCCAGGAGCAAAGCCCTGCATGTCCTTAGAGAGCAGCAGAGCCCCTGCTCAGGCCCGCGCCAGCTGCCTCCTCTGTCTGCCTGCTGCCCTGGTCATTCGTGAAACTCTTCCTGTCTTGCTGAGTAGGTAGGTGGAGAGGTCCAGACGTGATCCTCAGGCTCAGAAAGTCTGGAATCGGTGCTCTATTACTGGGGAGATTGGATTTTTTTCTGGTGTTCTTAGAGTCAGTAAGGGAGGTTCTACTCGGGCAGTTTCTCCCCCCAGGAGACCTCTGTCTCTACCCCTGTCATTTCCCTCCTCTTTGACACTGTTTCCATAGCCCGTCGATGCCTCTAAGACAACTTAACCTTTCTCTTCAGGATCTCAGCTCCTTTGCGTAATTCTCCGCTGTAGGTCAGTTTACTTAGAGTATTAACAGTCAGATCTGGCTGGTATTGGTCATGGTTTCTGACCAGTTACTGTTTTCTGGCCAATCTGGCTGTCCCTGCCGTGTTTATTTCATGTTTCTTGGATTAGCTGGTGACAGTGATGTTATGTATTAAGAACTTATACAATAGAGTTTGCCTAAATAAATTTACATGCACTCTTGTGGGGTTCCATCAGTTCAGAACTATTTGTCCCATCTCACAGGTGAGGAAGCTGAGGTGTCAAGAATGAAAAACCTTTGCCTAGTGTCACACACGTGGGCATTGTTGGCTCAAAAAGATAGTTAATTGATTCCAGCATACATTCCCATTCAATGACATCTCCTGTAGTTCAAATCTAGAGAATTGTAAAAATTAGTATGACTTTTTTCTTTGCCTTTTGTTCTGTTTTGGGAAACCTAAGCACACTCACATTTCCTTTATGGATTTAAGCACTGCAGAATTTCTTCCATATTTTCTATTTCTCTTCTGCTTAAAAAATGATAAATATTGCCTCCACTTTTTTCTCTTTGGTTCATGTATCCTTTCCTTCCTTTTATTATAGATTTGAGATACTTGTTTTATCCAAAGTTTAGTATAATAAAGTAGCAATTATTACATGGAGTTTGTTTCTCTTCAAGGAATGGACAAATGTGGAATCTTGGGAAATTTTGCAAAATTTAACCAAGTTTGTCAAAGGACCTTCTGGGGGCTATTTGTTATCCTTCCTCTTGTCTTAAGTGGACGTCCCTGTGATGTCTCTTACTTAGCAATATAATGTCATACTTTTTATGATGTTCAATTGATAGCATTATGATGCAGCTCCAGGCATGTTTGGATTTAAGAGGAAGGTTGTGTGGAGAGAGGAAAATGTTTATGTTAAGGCTTCATTTCAAGGCATAATATTTGTATTAGTCAGCACTCTTAAAGAGCAAAGGATCCAACTGGAAGATGTCTATTTACCCAATTTAATTATAGAGCCCGAGAGGGCCAGGTGCAAAAGAACCATTGGGGTAGTTCTCAGCCTAAAACAAAGGTCTGAGAAGGCAGAGAGTTAACCATTGTGTGTTTCAGTCTGAGACTAAGGTCGGAGCAAGAAACAGACCCTTGTTCCAGCTTGAAGATAATCAGACAGAGAGAGAAATCCAACTTTTCAAGCTTTAATTCCACTCTGGCCTTCATTGGGTTGGATAATTGCCTTCCACCCCTTACAGAAGGGAAATCTTCTTCATTTAGTCTACAGCTTTGAATGGTAGTCTCAGGTGGAAACGTTTTCACAGATCAGCCACACTTAAACCACATCAGACATGCTAAACCACACAGTTGGGTACGCTATGATCCAGTGGACTTGACATGTAAAATTTATCACACAGTATTTTTAGTCAAATCATTAACACTTGTCATTTATTATGCACTTACTACACATAGCCAGCATTTAAACTTTACCTTAACTTTACCAAGATGTTGACCCTATTTCAGTTTTAAAAATTAACACCCACCCACTTACACATTGCACTGCACTTCAGAGAGGCGCATGAGTTTGTTCTATGATATAAAACTGGTGAAGAGAGTGACTCAGTTCAGTCAACCATTGTTTTCTGTCTGAAGAGCTCACGACTGCTGGACACACTTTTCAGTGGTGAAATGCTATACACACAGCATTAGAAATGCTATACACACAGTGAAGAGAAAGTGGGCTGTGATTTCCTCACACCACTGGGCAAACTCGCTTCCTTCCTCTGTATGGTGGACATTATCTATTAAGCAGATGAGAAATACTTCCTGACTTAACTTTTCCAGAGGAAGGAAACATTTTTCAGTCACTCAAGGAACTTTCGAGTCTAGTTTTCTGTGAACATCAGCAGGGAAATTTATAAAGGCAGAAGCAACGTGTCCTACATGAGGACCCAGTAGGTATATCTACGATATAGTTATTATAGAATTTATACTACCCAGTACCATGCTGGAGATTTTTACTCAAACATATTCACAAAATATAAAATCCAATCCACTTTGTCTTAATCAAGGTTTGAAGCCTAAATATTAACAGTTGGGTATAATGTACACATTTGGTTACTCAGTCCAGTCTGCTAAAACATTATCACTCGATAATTTTGGGTGATCTTAATCGCAAAACAGGATATTAGAGGAAAGCTTTTCTGAATTTTGCCTTTTTCAAGTCTTCAGAATTCCAGATAAAGGCTGCCAACTCAAGCAACAAACACATCCCCACTTTGTTTCTTGGATGATAGAATTTAAACCAATTTCCAGTATTTCTCAGGGCACTCTTCATAGCTGTCAAAATGATTGCCCTTTGTCCTGGAGATGTGCAATCACGATTTTGAGTTCCTTTATTTCCACTCGCTCTGAAACGTGAGGTGCAGAAGCAGCATGTGTGCCTAAGCTGTTGTCACTGTGCCCTCAGGTTTGCACCCGTTGGCTGCTTCAGAAGAATAACTCCTTAACAAAGCAGGAACTGCACTAGTCTGACTGCTTTCTAAATGGAACGTTGGGGACCATGTGGCTGTAAGGACCTCACCTTTAACGGGTTCCAAGAGGGTTGTGTGTCCCTGATGATGACACTGCAACTCAGAACTTCTGGTTCTCACTATTTGAAAACGAAGTCACATTTCAGATGCTTCTCCCCGACAGACTTCATATCCGGAAGGACCTGGTAAAAGAGCATCTGACAGGCCTGAGGATTAACTGTTCAAAGGGGAGTGAGCGAAGACATTTCAGCACAGGAGTGCTTAACTTGCTGAAACACATAAATTTATCTGCAGACTTTATTCTCCTTGTACATAAAAGCAGGCAGGGCTTTTTAATGCCATTGTGAATCATGCACCCCACAATATGGATATATCAACCATTCCTCATCTGCTGGCCAATCATTTGGAAGACAAGGATGGATTATATTTTTATGTCAACCTGCTTGTGATTCAGTAGTTAGGGAGATAGATTGCCAAGCAGCACATTAAGCATGAGCTGTAAGAGTAGGTGCAAACTATTTTCCATTATGCCTGTGGAGCTATAATTGGTCCTGTCGACAAGACTAGGGACAGTACTGCTCTTTATTTATTATTTGTTTATCTTTGCTCTAACTAAAAATCACTTTTTCCCTATTGTAATCACTGTGTGCATTTTACCAAAATTTATAAGGAAAACTTATGTTAACTGCAGTTTCCTTATGTGTACCTAAACTGCATTATTCATAGAATTAACATGGACATAAATCATCCAACCAAAAAATTGCATGTACCTCAAAAGTTTTATAGGTGAACTGACATTATCCCTATTTTTCAGGTGATAAGGTTAACTTTCGGAGAGTTAAGTGATATTAATATGGCTAAAACATTGCCAAAGTGAAATGCAAGCCCACTTCAATCTAATGTGGAGGCTGTATACACATTCACTTAAAGTATTTGTTAATGACAAATGACAGACTTTCACTGTGTAATTCTGGATGCATTTGCTAGTGAACACCTGCCTGCTTTTCCAGTTGTTACTAACAGACAAAACTTCTCTTCTGGACTGGAAACTTATCTGCAGAAACCACATAAGCTTTGCTTAACAGCAGCCAGGTGGAAACATGAGTCAAGGTCTCCCAGAAGATACTGTTTACTTTGGGTCATTTTAGGATTGGCCTTCTGTATTGATCAGATTTACCTTTTCGCAGACAAAATACCCAGTGCTCACAACTCAGTGAAGGAGTTTATTTTGATTCGCAGTTTTGGACCTTTCAGCCTGTGATTGGATGCATGCAAGGCTGAAAACCATAGTGAAAGGGCATGCTGGAGCAAAGCTGCTTAGCTTATGGTGGACAGGAAGCACATCTCAGGGAAAAAGCATCAGCAAAAGTCAGGCCCCTGGTGGTCACCTCTGCCAATAGGGCCCTGCCTCTTATTAGCACATTGAGCTGTGAACATCACTTAATTCATTAATGAGTACAGTGTCCCTGGTCCAGCAGTCTTTCCCAAAGTCTCTCAATCCAGTCATGTTGCAATTGAGAGTAGCTGGCATAACTCCGCCCCTTGTCAACTTGACACCTTATCCATCCTATTAAAATACCAGGGATCTCCAAACAAACACAGTAACAAGTTCATAATCCCACTTTGCATGAACAAATAACCTGCATACAAGTCATTAATGCAAACATTTTTGCAAAAATGCAATAACCACCTTCTAAAGTTTCAACATTTCCAGCATTATTCTAATGTCCAAGTCCAAATCTTCTCTGAAACTTAATGCCAGCTCTTAAATATGAACTTCTGTAAAAGTAAACAAGACAAAACAAATTATATATATATATATATCCCTAAAACAAAATGGCACTGGCTGTATATTCCTATTCTGAAAGGGAGAAATAAGGAGTTAGTAAATAATTGGAACAAAACAAGACTGAAATCTGACAGGGTAAACATTGAATCCTGTAGCTCCTTACCAGTATCCAGGACACAAAGCCATGAGATATAAGTTCCAGAGGGCTTTCCTCAATGATCTTTCAGATTACAGGATATACTGCTTCTCGCCTGGGTCTGCTCACTGCCTATTCAAAGATCTCAATCTCTCCCACTTCCTGAGGTCTCCACTCCACCTTAGCTTTGTTCTCACAGCTTCATGTATCCACCTCTCAGGGGCACGTTGTCTGACTTCCCAGACCTTCCTTTTAATTTTGATGGTAGCCTTTATTACATACAATTCCATGTACCCCCCAAAAACAGTAGCATGAGGCGTATGCCTAAGTCTATTGCTAATAGCCTGCTTTCCTTGGACATGGCTGGAGGGGCCCCTCAGGGCCTGTATGTCTGAGTATAGTGAAGTAAATTCCCAGGAACCAATTGCCAGGGTGTCCTGCTCACAGCTTCAGAGAAGATCTTTGGACTCTTTTCAAGTGAGAAGGTTTCATTTGGGGACTTTTAAGTCTGTGATGGGCATGGTCTTTTTGGTTCCTATGATGACTTCAAGGTATCTTTACTCTTGTTATAATTCCGAGTACTTTCCTTTCTTTTAAATGGCACTAATCACTTTCATCCACACCTCTTTTGCATGCAAATTTATACATGGTTCATTTCAGACCAAATGTAAAGTGTATCAAGTCTTTTTCCTCTGATTTTCTCCTAATTTTAACTATAAATCTGGCTAAAATACAAAACAAAACAAAACAAAACAAAAAAACTAACATGACTCTTACCACAGCCTGAATGTTAGCCTACCTGGAAATCTTCACCAGATTGGTTAATCCACCCCTTTTAAATTCAGCCTCACACAGAGTCTTGGGACAGGGATAAAATATAGACAACTTCCTGTGGCAGAGTGCGACATGCATGATGTCTAGTCACATTCCCATATTGTCCCTATTCTCACCTGAAACCTCTGAAGCTTTGCCTCATTCCCCACACTCAGATCAGCATTCCCACCTTCTTCTGGGCCCCCAACGGGATCATCTGTCAAGCACTGCTTGCAGGATCCAAGGCTTTCCCTTGCCTGAGTCTCCAGAGTTCTTTAAACTCTTCCCACAAGGTTGTTCCAGAGACTTCTAAACAACACGGTCAGGTACATCACACTCTTTGTACTACTCTCCTGTATGGTTCAGGTTCTCTCTTCCTTTAAAAAAATAACCAATGCCTCCAAATTAAAGGGAGAAAAGTTTAATTTGATTCACCATTTCAGGGTTTTTTGTCCATGTTTGGTGGGCTCCAAGAGTGAAACGTAGCGCAGTTGTGTTCTGGAGCCAAGCTGCTGAGTTCTTGATGGCTTGGAAGCAGCACACAGGGCAAGGGCACCAGCAAGAGGGACATACCTTCTGGAGCAGGTTCCTGCAGCCCAACTCTACCTAGGTCCCAGTTCCTAACATCACATTCAGCTATGAATAACCATAGATTAATCTACTAGTGAGTACAACACCTCCATGATCCAATCCCCTTTCCAGGACTCTACATCCAGTCAAGTTGACAATTAATAACTGGTTCATCTTTTGAAGAAAGAGATTAACCAGATCATTTTTTTTCTGACTAAGTGGCAGTGTTAGCCCCCGTGGATTACTTAACTGTGGATAATCCATACCCACCTTGATTTCTCCCCTGGTGTTGGGATGGAGTGAAGACTCCTCCATAGCCTTCCATTCCAGAGTCTAGCCCAGTGATGGCGAACCTTTTTAGAGTTTTCAGTGATAACAATCAGCCAGCTGTGGCACATGTGCCACGGTTTTGTCACCACTTGTATAGCCTGTAGAGAAGTGTCTTCCTAATTAGCAAGGCTGAGAGCAATGCATTGCTAATTGAATTAGTGCAGAACATGGATCAAGAAGTCCAGATATGATTGTTTACTATGTCAGGATCTCTGCAGCTGCAGACAAAGCAGCCTGGCTGGCTGATCTCTGGGTATATCTTGTTGTTTTCCAAATGAAGGTCATTTATAATTGATAAGAATGAAAAGCATTTCCATCATCTACCACCCTAATTGAATGAAATATCTTGCTAGCTAAAACAGTGGTGCCTGAAATAGCTACTGATTTTATATTTTATCTGGGGCCAGCTAATTTCTTAAGGCCAATGTTGGGAGAGGGTGTGGAACGATGCTGACAAATTGAGTTGAACATTTGAACATGAATTTTTTGGCCCACTCACAGCAGGTGCCTCCATTAGAAACCAGATGTTGGTATTAGGATTGCAATAAACCAAGAACGCAAGACTGCAAGACCTCTGCAAAGAAGGAAACTGGGCAGCCTCCCAGCCTGTCACTCCTGAGAGCCCACAGCTTTTCGTCTTGATAACATTTATATTCGTGGTTGTGCATGACAGGGAAGTGACAGAATCTCTTTTCCCCTTGCTGGATCTACACCTGGGCATATATCTGGTGCACCCAAGGAAAAGTAGTGAGTGACAGTCGTGCAGGCTGGGTAGGGGTCATGTGAAGGTTTTGCAGCCCTTGGTGCCATCTAACCTGTGATAGAAGGTTCTTTGAGGAATATTATCTGCGGTTACCCTGGCCTTTCTTGCTTACATCAACTTTGAGAATTATTTACGTAATTATTTTCAGCCTACTTGAACTGTAAATCAGATTTCAACAGTGGACTTAATAAAAATGTCATAAACTAGGTGGATTCATGTACCACTGGAGTGTTTTTTCTCAATTCTGGAAGATAGAATTCTGAAAACAAAGTGTGGGCAAGGTCTCTTTCTCTGAGGGCTGTGGGGCTTGGAGTGAAGCATGTCCCTCTCTTCTCTGGCCATTTCTGGTGGTTCTGGCAATACTTGCCACTGCTTGACTTGTGAATGAATTCTTTTAGCCTTTGCCTCCATTGTTCCATGAGCTTTTCCTTGTTTTTGTAAGATCTTCCTTGCATGTGTGTCCATCTCTGCTCCCAACTCCCCTCGTGTGATGAACCTGTCATATTGGGTGCTTGACCCCAGGGACCTCTTACTGCCTTCCTGGCTTCTGCACAGACCCAGTTTATAAATAGGTTACTTTCTGAGGTCCTGGGAGTTTGGACATCAGCTCATGCTTTGGGGGATTGCAATTCGAAACATAACAAGGAAGTCATAATACACTTATTATAGTGAACAAGATAAGACTATCTTAAACCCCCCCCCCAAAAGCTAGGCTTTTTTTCTCTAAGCATAAAATTACTTTAGGGACTAGAATATTAAAAGAATCATCATTTAAAGAACAGTGCTAGGCAGTAGGAGATGGTGTGGTATTTCTAACATTGTAATTCACACATCAGCTGTAGCATAATACTTAAGGTGAAGTAGATTAGTGAATATTAAAAGTATAAGTTCATCTGAACCACTGCAAAATTTCTTGAAACAAGAAGAGTGAACTGAAATACCTGTTTTTCTTCCAACGTATTTTCTTCCATTCTGTTCAATCTGGTTGGCATGGCAACTGTTGAATTTCATCCTGGAATATGTTTTTATTTGTGTGGTTTGTTTATTTGTTCGTTTTTTACAATGAGATTGGATAAACTGGTATTTTCTTATTTTTTGATAGGATGGTTACTGCTCTTTTTCTTTGTCAATTTTCCCTCTGTCTGCCAAATCTAAAAGTTATTTCTCCCTGTACATTTGTCAATGTTCATTATTTAGGTATTTACCTATTTTCTAGCATGGACAAATCCGTGTGTTCTATAAGTAGGGACATATTTTCTGTCTTCAGTGACTCTTAATGTATTTCTGTCACAGGACCCAGTTGGGGGCTTCACTCAACAGCAGCTAAGGAGAATTCCTGGCTCCCTGGGCCACAGGGCACGGGATGAAGCGGGCGACCCTTCTTCTAGGGCCAAGGGAATCAGCAAGGACCTCCACAGCATTCTCACCCTGTCTGCTAACCAGTAAGTCATTGTCTTTATTCATTTCCATGTGCTGCTTCTGGCGTCCTATGGAAAACAATTTCCTTCTGCCCTAAGTGAGAATTTATTTGCATTTCCTTCTTTTCATTGATTGTGATTTCTTTCACATCAGGAATCACATGCTATGTCTATTGATTGTGTAGTCTGACTTCTGGTGAATTACCAGCAAAAGTGTGCGCATATTGAAGCAAATTGCATTGGAGATAACTTTAATAATACAAATTATATATGTTACTGTAGAAAATTCTGGAAATGTAGAAATTTTGGAAGATAAAAAATAGTACAACTACCTTAAAGCAACCTCTGGACTTTGTTGAGGGGGGTGGCATTTAAAAAATAATTTGAAATAAACATAGCTATCAAATTTTACACATAATTTGATACTTTTCACAACACTAATATTATATGAACATCTCATATGGAATTACACAGGTAAAAGATGACTATTTTAGTAGCTGAATTAGTATTCACTACATGAATGCAAGAGCATTTGCCGTATTGTTTCTTATGTTATTTCAATATAAATTCTACCACAGTGAACATCTTTGCATGTAACTTTCTGATATTGTTATTATTTAGTTGTTTGTTTCTTTGCATTTAAAATTAGTTTTGGAATGAATCTTAAAAGTTCCTGAGAAAGTATTTCCATAAATAGAATTCCGAGGCAATGATTATTTTGTAACACATAATTCTGTTACTGAACATTAATAGCTGCTCATTTCCCAAACACAGAATGAGAGAGTATTTATCATCCGCTTCAAATATATGCATATATAAACAACTGTTGTAATTAAATAAACCTTTGAAAATGAGAAGAAATACAAAACATTTGCAACGTAGTTAAGCCTGAGATTCCCAGAATTGGATGAATTAGCTTCCACTCAAAGGCTTGGTGAGAGGTGCACATGGGCCGATATCCAGCCACAGTGCAAGGAGCCAAGCTGAGCATTTGAGGACATATCTGTCTGGGGACTTTCTTTATGTCATAGTACAAAGATGCCATCTGTTCCACCAGCCACAGGCTGCTCTGGAGAGAGTGTTTTTCCTGATGAGCACAGTTCCCTCCAGTTGGCTTTCTGTAGCCATTACAAGAGCTGTGCTGGGAGGAAAGGAAGGAGGGCTCCTGCCTGGGTCTTTTGCTTTGTTGGTGAAGCAGGTGTTTTGCGGAGCTGAGGTATAAAGTGACTGCTGAACAGCACTGTCTGGGGTGCTTTGGGGTAGTAAGGACCTCTGAAGAATTTTAAGCTGGTGGTTAAAGCTTTCCACAGTTTTCTGTCCAGCTTTGCCTCTCTCTGGAGTTTACTTAAATTAGCTTTCTTCTCCTGACACCTCCTTTCCACTTGGGCATCTTTGCAGATTTTCTACTTTGTTCTCCATGTCTGCTTCTGAAAGTCTCCCCAGTCTTTAAGTGTTAGTTCTCCCTTGCTGTGTAACTGTCATTGGTCTTTAATTTTTGATCCTTAATGACAATCGCATCTTTGAATTCACTGAATTCACTCAATTCGCAGGACATATATTTTGAGTGTGATGTGCTGAGGCATTTATAAGGACAAGAACCAGAGTCCTTTGCTCTAAATTTAAAACAGGTCCATCCCTTGGCTGCAAAGAGGCAGTGATAATGTTTCCTAATCTGTGCATCAGTTCCTCAGTTCCCTCCTCAGTAAAATGGAAGAATAACAGAACGTTGTGTCTTAGGGCTGTGGCGAGGAGTAACATCTTAGTATTTAATGCAATGCAGCACTTGGCAAATAGTGCTTGTTGGTTGGTTTTAATAGTCTCTGTTTACTAATTAATTTTTAAAAGCAGCAATCATATATTTACTTTTTTATTCTTAGGGATTCTTGCATAACTAAGTCCCTAAATAAGTATTAATTGGTTAAAGGAATAAATTCACATGAGCTTTTAATGATTGACACAAGCAAGTAATTTGATGTCCTTCCGTCTTACCTTTTATTTTTTAATCTATTCAATATTCATAGAGAATTCGCTGTATTGTAGGGTTGGGAACATAAGAAGGGTCATTTTCCTGGACTCAGGAGATCACATCAACAGGCTCTTGATGGATATACCGCACTGTGTGGTAGGAGTAGCTCTCAGAGAGAGCTGTGTACACTTAGGAGGCCTGGGTGTGCAGAGAAGGGTCGTCTGCCCCAGGCAAACCTGGAGAGGGTGTGAGCAGTGCCACGTCACAGGTGTGGCCAGTATAACCAGAGTCATTTCTAAGACTAGAGATGAAAGATGACCCTTAATGACTTGAAAGTTTTTTTAAAGCCTCAGCAATATTTTCATCTCAGAGAGAAGAGCAACTCAAAATGATGCTATTTTTTACCTGACTCATAGTCCTGGATTTCTCATATGTGTGTGCAAACGAACAAAACTGAAGCACAGTAACAACCCTTCTACACATAGTCACCATGCCCAGTCATCACTACCCCAGTGAAAGAGAAGTGTGTGCTATATTCATGACCATATCATCTAACTCAGTGTCTTTCATTTGTTGCCCATTTGAAAAAGAGCCTGGCCCTGAACAGGGTGTTGTGTAACTGCAGCATCATATTGAAGAAAGGGAATTTAATTGAAATTAGTGTTAAAATAATTTATTTATGAAATGCCAGTGTATACGTTTATGTTCTGTTTTCATGTACTGCAGTCTGGTGCTGTGTGTGCCCCATTAAATTGTAAAATACCGGATCGTTAACCTGTAGTTCCACTTGCAGTCACACGGCTTGGCGGTATTCTGTTCCTCTCTCTTGGTGTAGCATCATTAAGACCTTTTGGGTCATTTATCTGTAGGCGTCTAATTCCTCTGTGGTCACAGAAAGATTCCTTTTCCTACTCATTAGGCAGATATGACCTACGCTGAGAGCAGCTGGCTTTCCTTTAACATCTGCTGAGCAACTGCCATTGAGCCAGAGCCACTTAGTTCTCAGTGTTTGCACACTTGCCTTTTGTCATTAGTGATTCAAGAAGCCAACGTATTATCTCCATGCTCCTGACCCCCAAAGTGTGGGCCTTCACAGATACTACTTGTCAAACTGTGTGCCGGGGCTCAATTTCCACTGTCGAATTCTGAAGCCAAACCATTCATTTCTCATTGTGATTCATTGGTCAAGAGTGGATAATTGAATATAAACCTAGCTCACTACTGGTTGGAGAACTGACAGATACCAAAGGAGAAAGAAACGCTGATGATTGTGTTCCTTTCTCTGATGCATTAGGGAATGTGCAGCTGGAGCTTTCATATCCCAGGGCTCAGGAAAAATCCCCAGAAACTTTACCCTGCATTTTACACATGGATTAGCTGAAGTGTAGAGTCTACACAAAGTAAGTTAGGTGAGATTTTGATTACTGAAGGCATCACAGACAGAGTAATCAGATCTATGGAAGAAATAAAAGGTACGTAAAGTTTAACAACACTGATAATTGTTGCGGAGTGTGTGTGTGTGTGTGTGTGTGTGTGTGTGTGTGCGACTTGTTGCTGGGACACAGGACCTGACACCTAGAACTTAGAAGAGCGTAGGTTAACTTTGGTGCAGGGTTCCAGTCATGGTCAACTACCTCTAAGCTTTTAGCATATGAATAGCAGAGGAAATCTGCTCAATCCGTGGCATCCAGGAAACAGAGAGAAAGAGCAGAGCTGGGGCAAAAAATTCAGCGTTCCAGGTCACACTCTCAGCGAGTCTGCTCTCCCACTTCTCAGGACATTTAGCTGGGGAATGGCAGAGTCCACAGATGAGTGTAGTGCCCACTTGACCCACTTACCTTTCAAAAGCCCTAACTTCTTGACACATAAGATGCTGCAGGGGACCTTTTAAATCTGTTTGAAGATAATTATACAGTGTTTTAACTACTGTTACTCTCATATTATTTTGTTACAAACTTTTGTCTTATTTTTTTCATAAAAAACATAACTCCTGTGTGTGTGTGTGTGTGTGTGTGTGTGTGTGTGTGTGTGTGTATTCAGGACAGTTCAGCTGTTACACAAGTAAGCAGTATGCCTATGTTTTGGTATCTGGCTTCTGTTGCCTGAGCTGTCTGCTGAGGGCTCTTTTGGAAAACTTGGTTAGAATCAAACTTGTCTCACATTTTCAATAGCTATTGAGTGTCACTGTGATGATTCTTTAGATGCGATGCTTATATTTTATCAGTTTCACTGCATGGAGTTTTTCTGGGTTGTTCTTAGGTGAGCAGTAGAGGTGGTATCAGTGGATCGGTTGCTTACTCTTCAGCAAGGCAGTGCCCTATGCATCCAAATGAGGGTTGATTGCTTCTCATGGATATTAGAGACAGGTCATTCATTGTCTGACTCAGTGAATGTGCTGTTTACTTATATCTTGGTCAAGAACATGGGGGGTTGGATATTGTCAATGCTTAATTCAACAGGCTGTTGCAGGTTAAATGGTAATTATGATTGTAAGGCAGTTGAATATAAAAGACACTGTAGGAGGAAATAAAATATCTCTACAAGTCAAACATACTCTTCTTTTTAATTTACTTCTTTTTCTTTATTTTTTTCTCTGTTTTCTAATCAATATTTTTTTCAGTACATGTTCTTCTGCCTATAGAGAATCTCTATTCAAAGGCTGAGTGAACTGCACTGTTCAAACAACATTTTCTTAGGCGTGTATATCAAGAAAGTGATAGCTTTTATACAACTGTATCACAAGGACTAGGGCTCAGGAACATCCAGGAGACAGTATCACAGTTCTGTATATGAACTCAGTCATCTCTTATTCAGAACTTAACCGATCCCTGCCTTTGAGTCCTCCCTCCAGAGCTCTTTCCACATAACACTCTGGTAAACACTGGAAAACTGCAGTGTGCTCTACATTGTACATCTCCCTCCTCTTCTCCCTCTTCCACTAGCTTCTAAGCAGGACAGTGGAGGGTTGAGCGACACCGTGAACAGGTCATGCATCTCCATCTGCTGAGTGTCTGGCACAGGCTGGTAACACAGTGGCAACACATACGTTATTGCAGAC